CTAATGTTACTCTAATCCCCATTGTTTCTGACACAATCGGTGCTTTTGCACTCAGAGCAAGGAATTTTTTCAAGGCACTCTGACATAAAAATGAGCTTAAATTCTGATGATCCTCCAGGAAGGTTTTTAACTACTTTAACGAATTTCAATTGAAATTTATAGGTCTCGTAGTATATCAATCCATTTTGACATAACCTATTTTTAATATATTACATTATTTTATTACTTATTTTTAAAAAAATAAGTAATATATATTTTTTATTAAGCCTATATCTTTTATTGTAAATTGTAAGCAAATAAAAAAAAAAATATCTGATGTTTTACTAGTATGTAAAGAAAAGTTGCAAAATACTCGCTTTTCATTATTGCCTGGAGTCAATAAATATGTGTAAAGAGTAAGCCAGGCATAGTTTTGAAAGTCATCTTTTACTTATCCATATTCATTTTATATAGTATAGACTTATTATAATCATTCTATTTATTATAAAAAATAAATTAGATAAATGAAGAACCCGTGAAACAATAAAATTTTATATTAATTGTTATTTTAAAATCTTAAACTGTCATAATCATGATGTAATTAAATCATGGGATCCGCATTATAACATTTTTTTAGATTATAAGGGTATTTATAGGTATATTTGTTAAAATTGTGATTCATTAATATTTACATTCTTTCGAATTTATGATATTATATTAAATATTCGGGATCATCATTATAACATTTTTATTCGAGATTATAAGGGTATTATGGTTAATTTACTAGAATTGTGATTTATAATTATTTACATTATTCTTTTTCCAATTTATAATAAAATTTGGGTTCAGCATCACAAACGAATATTTATCATATGTTTTTTTAAAAGTTTTTTTTAATAAAGGTAAGCCAATGGTGTTTTTAGGTCTGATATTAGTAAATATTTTTACCAAAAGTAATATATAAAATAAGAATGTAATAGGTTTTATTCAAGATTCGGATATTTACTATAATTATGATAAAGAAATAAAATATACAGCAATCATTATAAGAGCCTCAGGTATGAATTTTGAATATTTCTAATTTATTTTAGAAGGTAGCTACGGGTTAGGAAAGATGGTAAAAAATCCAGGTTAGTAGTTAATATTTCATAAAAATGGTTGAGATCATTTTGTTAGTACTAATCCAAACAAGAAAATTAAAGATCCGACTTGTTTGAAACCTTAGGTACTGCTTATGCTCCTTAATCTCTGAATAACATAATGAATAATAGTAACACTCCAGAGATTTTTAAAAAAACTTACGTGACCAGTTTTTTTTGAGTAGAATTTTATAATGCTAAACTATGTTTTGCATAATTAAAATGTATTTTTTATTAAATAGGTAAGTGATAAAAAATATTTGTAGGCAACCAACTCATTATCAAAAACCTATCTAGAAACACTTTTTATCGAAACTTTTATCACTAATGTCATGTATCGCGAAGGAATTGAGCAAAAATAAGACTTATAAACCAATTTTATTTTCCCATGAAACATTCAGCGAAGACAATACCGCGAACTTAATTCTGCGAAACTGAATACCGAACACTTTCGAATCTTGAACCAATTTAAAGCAAAACATTTATGGCCAACTCTTTGTATGAAAATTTTTTTATCGCCGGCGAAACAAAAACAACATATTCAATAATAATTTAACCACATAAATTCTTAAATCATAAAAGCCAAATGTTTTAAGGGTATTTAGTTACAAGCCAGCAAGAGTTGGCTTAAATGTGACCTTTATCTAATATTCCATTAAAAAATAATTCATAAAAAATATTCTATATGCATAGAATTTTTTCCTTACATTAGATTTAAAAATACAGAAAACTAAATTTTCACCATTATTTTTTTTAAAAAATCATAAACGATTGCTAAGTAAAGACAATATATTTACTCATAATTTTTTGTATTGAATTTTCACAGTTAATTTTTTTTTTAATGAATTTCTTTATTTTTTTTAGACATCTCATTTCTAGAATAAATTATTAATCATTTTTTACTAAATCCTGGTAGCTTAAACGTAATGTTTGCAAATTATAATATTATTATTAAAATTCACTTTATAATCAAGGGGTCCTCTTCTTTATTAAAAATTTCTTTGCCATCACCAGATCGCATCCCGATAATCAATTAGATCTTAGGATCCCGGACATAATAAAGCCTTTATCTCTGAGAGCAACTGTTAAATTATACGAAGAAAAAAAATTATCCATATAAATTTTATAGTTTTTTATATACAATTTCTGATAGTCAAATAACGAGATATCTCGGCTAATTTCCATCAAAGATTTTCTTTTATATTTGAGAATTTTTCTAAATATATCTCGAAAAAATTGTAACCATTGATTATCCATAAAACGCAAAGTTTTAATTCCCCATTTATGTGGTTTTCAGCTAAAATATTGCTTAAATTCACATAGACCTTATAAGGGTACCATCATTTTGTCGAGGGATAATCTATCCTATAATTGAACAAGTTCACTTTTATTAGCACTAATATTTGTATAATAGACATGAGAATCTATTTAACTTTACTTAATTTATAATTTTTAGGTGAAACGCAATTTTTATACATCTTTTTAGTAATATAGCAAACCCTTAGCTATCAGCTCGAATTTAGGCCACCTTTTGGAAATTTATCGACAATTTTTATGATACCGAGAAATAAAGCTCTCAGTGTAGGAGTATTAGCTTAAGCATTTAAAATAATTTATAAATAGTAAATTTAAAAAAATTTATTTTAAGTTCATCCATAAGAACTTTAAGCCATTTGAAAACTCAGTTTTAATCTTAAAAAAATATTTTCCTCTTGAAGTAAAAAATCACATAGGAGATAGCTCAAAATGCCCCTATAAGTCCAGCTGAGGTATGTCTAGAGTGTATTTCTCATGGTCAAGACAATATTTAGTGCATTATCACAAAATATATATTTTATTACCCAAAAAATTAATCGACTAATTTCAAAATACGTAATTATTAATGATGTATAAAATTCTACAATCATAAAATACCCGAAAACAGTAGTAATATCGCTTTGAAGATATCGTAGAGATTTGCAAAACACAGCTCGGCCTTAGCCGGCCCGAATGGGTTTAAAAAATAATTTAGGTTCGGCTCTAATATTTATTTATAAAATCGGGCCAGACCGGGCTTATTTTTCATTGTAGAATATTTTTTTTACAATCAAAAAAAAATAATGAATTTTTCTACTGTTTTAACCAGATTTGATGGTAAACATTTCTATATTTTCTTATTTATTTGAAAATAAAATTATCTGAATTGCAAAAAATTGTTAAAATAACATATTTTTATCAATTTTTACCAGAGTTTAAAAGTAGCGTCAAAAGAAGTAGCGCACTATTAGCTACTTTTTATAAAAAAAAATTCAAATTTTATTTTTTGCTAATGTTATTGTATAGTAAATATATAAAAATCAACATTTATGAATATTAAAATATAGTTAAATTTTGATTATAAAAAAATTAATGTAATTATCAATAAATATTTATGGTAATTTGTTGCATTTTATAAGTTTTTACCTAGTGCTATGCGTCCAACTATCTGCCGTGGTACATATATATGATATCTCTGATAACTCTACTATTAGAGCATCTTTCATCATTTTTAAGTTATCTGCTATTTTATTCATTAGTGTCAGGCGACATAAAATTTTAATACAAGGGGATAGTCTTAATCATTATGGTAAATGATGGATTATCAACCAAGGACATTGGCTTGTATCAATTATAAAATCAACAATAACTTTGTCAACCAATTTCTGAGAAATATTGGTATTTGTTTATTAATTAATTTTGTTTGTATTGAGTAAGTCTTTTTGGATGTAGAGTCGCCTATAACAAAATTATTTAGATGTTCCCCATTTCCTAAAAACTATTGATAAAAAAATTACTATTAGATATTAAAAGTGACAATTTACCTTTTGGTGTTTCTTGAGGTATAAATTTGAAGCCAGTTATGGTTTTTATATTTATTTTAAAAAATTTTCAAGCCTAGGCCATGGGAAATTTGTATTATAGCTATTAAGAACATTTTCTTCCCTGGTATCTTCCATTTCATTAATATCATTGTCTGAATCACTTTCAACGATTTGGATATCCATAGGCGATGACATTTTAAATTATTAACAAGTGATTTAGGTTTATAGTACAAATAAAAATATAAATTGCAAAATTGAAAATATATTTCAATTTCAAAATTAAATAATAAATCATAAAAATTATAATTATAATTAATTATGATATTATATTTGAATTTTCACGTTTATACTTACCTTCATTATATTTTTTAAAAGTAGCGGCTAAAAATTAAATAATTACAAAATAAAGTAGCCGATATTGGCTATAGTTACCAAAAAAGATAGTACGTTAAGTAGCTCCTTTAACAACTCTGATTTTTACAAGTTAAATTATTTTATTCACAAACTAATTAAAAGAATATGGACATGATATTTAATTAAATATGCACAATATAGTATATTTAAATAAATTCGGGCAGGGCCGACAAATAAGCTTTATTTTTATTTCGTGTCAGACTTTTCGGGGATCGGGTGAAGCAGATTAATTTTTCATACAAAAATTTCGGGCCGGGTTTGAAAAATTAGGCCCGATGCAACTAGGGTATCGGTACAATCCGAATTTTTAGAAAAGAGTAAATATCAACCCAGATGGGAAAATTAATAATATATCTAAGACTTTAGAGTTATTCAGTTTAATTTATTATATAAATTAATATATTGGCTTCTTTTTTTTAAAAAAAAATATCAAAAATGTTATAATAAAAATTAGGGCATGAATGCATCCATGACTGTATTATATATATTATAATGTTTATATTAATAATATTTTTTTTAAAAAAAATGTTATTTTATAAATGGGATATTTATCATAAATTACAAAATAATATTCACAAGAATATTCTGTTTTTAACACAAAAAAAAGGAAATAGAAATATTTTTCGAAATTAAAATTATAAACGCTTTGAAATTATCACAGAAATTTAATATTTTAGTTTTCAGCAAGTTTTCCCTTCATTTTTTAGACAATTTTAAGTTAATCCAATAGAATTCTTTGAGTACTATCCCGTCAATAGTAGCAGAAAGTTGCTTGGATGGGATTTGCATGAAGGATTTGCTCCCACAGTTATATCTACAGTTAAGGTAGATTTTTTAAAAAAAATATATATAAATACATTATATAAGCTTTAACTTTAGGAATAATATGAATGATTTATACAAAAATTTTAATTTAAGATTATAAAAAAATTAACATAACAGTAAATAGAATTAGAGAAAAGCAAAACGTTCGTCAGTCAAAGCGTTTTATTTCTAGGACTGGACAATAGAACTTTTCTTAATAGTGCATAATCTTATGCTCAGATGAGTATGCTTTTTGCTCAAAGAAAGAAAAAAAAGAAGTGAGTAAAAAATGAAACTTATAAAAATATTGTATAATTCCATCTTGATCGGCCACGATAAGCTTAGGCCCCAAGCCGTGGATCTTGTAGAGTTCTAACCCGTCGGGCTGATTGGTCCGTTGATAAAGAGCCCGGTATTGCATTTGACGATCGCGAAACAAAATTATGAATTGCTTGTGTTCCAGTGATCGGTTCATGGCCTTTAAATCAGTTTTAAAAAAATTAATCAAATTTTAGAAATAAGTAATGTTGTACCCTGCCCAACTTTCTAGTTCTACGAAGATTTTAATGTATCTTCGATTATTTTTGGCCAGATAAAAATTATTAGAATCAAGTATCTGGAAACAATGGAATTTTGTTTCTCTTTCCGGTTCCTTTATAATTTAAAAATCCATCAGGGAGAGTGCTAGTTATTTTAAGATTTAAATAAAATGTTTATTTCCGGTTCTGTTTTTAAAAATTGACAAAAATAGTGTCGTTTAACAAGACTAGATTTGGTAATATTTGTTTTATATTGTAATTATATAATTTTGATTTTTAAAAAAATGTTTGTTTTTATAAGATTAAATAATCTAATAGCGAGTGTTGTTTAGAAATCTATTATTTGTCAACCGTTAAAAAAATATAATTTAATTAGTTCTATAACATTAGTTGTTGTATTTATATAATATATCTTATAAAAATTAATCTCTAAAACGCGAAATAAATTATGTTTTCTAATAAAACTATAAAAACCTCTATAGCCCTTGTTTTAACGTCAGTATTAACTGGGCCAGCTAGAACCGAATAACTGAGAGCTTGAATTATGAGATTCCTGTTAGATCTCTCGGAAGGTTTGGCATTTATCCTGGAAGAACCTATAATAAATATATTGTTAAGTTTTATTTGAAACATTCATTAAATAAAAAGAAATGTTTTCTGTGAATGGCACAGAAGAAATGGAATATTAACAAAAATATAAATAATACTCGATCTTGTAATGTTATTTGACTACCGTTGACCTCTTTAAATAAAAAGTTAATTAATAAATTTCATAAATTATAAGAAAATTTATAGTCTTTCAAAAGTATGCATGGAAGATATCCGTTTAATGTTAAATACTCTCAAGTCAACAAATAACAATTTCAACGACGAAATATTTTTTAAAATGCAATAAAATTCATTTTTTATGTATTAAGTGATGGTACAACGCGATCGCCCCCGCTCTACTATGTACCATCCCCACTATAGGACGGAACCACCAAGTTGGCTTCAGAAAAAATATATGGCCCTTAGTGGATTCGAACCCGGCAGAACTAATTGATTGGCGAGCAACGCTCTAGTCCACAAATGCTTTCCAAAAATTACGATTTTTTAATGTATATATTATAACCAAATGTGGCAGCATTTGTTCCAAATAAACAATAAATAAAATATCGATTGGCTCAATACAGCCTTTTGCAGTAACTCTAAATTAACCTAGATTTCCGCCCACTAAGCTAAGATCATCATAATGTTGGTCCATGTTAATTTATCATAAAAAATTACTATTATCTTATGCTTATTTAAAAAAAAAAAAATTATTCAATATATAACAATTTTAAGTTTAATTTTATATCCAAATTTATAAGAGATCATTATTAATTTACCAAAAGAAGAAATTGAAAAAATATAGCAAAAATTAACAAGTTGATTTATCAGTAGAGATAATATTAAGTAAATATAAAAATATCGGGGTATATAGGACTACTCAAAATAGAGGTCTAAAGATAGCTTTTCAAAGAAGTAGGAATCTAGGGGAAAAAAATGTCCTTTAAAAAAGGACAAAAATATGATTTAATGAGATTTCTGCGAATTGCTAGACAAATTTTCAGTTCAGCTTATCACCGAAAATTATATTCACTAGGATATTCCTACCATAAGAGAAAAAAAATTATTATGGGTATTTGAAATTCGTAAATTAGATAAAAGAGCAATGGGGAACCAACGACGAATCAAAAACGAAGTAGGGTTATATTAAAATATGCAAAAACCTTCAACCCTGATTTCTTACAAAGAATTGATAAGTTTCCATGATGCGTGAATGCAAAAGGTCGATGTGTTCCATTTATAGATAATAAAATAATTACTATAAACGAAGAATTTAGATTTTAACTGGGAAATCGATTATCCCAAGAATATGAGCAAAATCTTATTAATTGAAATTCCACAAAGAATAGCCGCATATTTATAAATAGGCAAAGGTAAGATATAACACAATTTTAATATATCTTGGCAAAATAATGGAATTTCAAATAGAGCTACATATTTTAATAATCTAAATATAAAATTAATCATTTGTATTATTTATTTTGCTCATTATTATATAGTTATTCTATCAAAAATGAGTGTTGATTATTGTATTTTAAATCAAAATTTATAATAAGTTTAAAAATAATATGAGTGATCGCATATTAATGAAGTCGGGTGTAGGACGCTCCTATGACCATTATTCCTACATTTTTGTGCCTATAGCTTTAATAAGGAAAATCAAGATAACCGAAATCGTCATCAATATCCGATTATTCCGTGGGAGACATTTTTGGATTTTTTTTTAAAAAAAAACTTGATAGGGCGACATTAGCAGAAAAAAATGGACCCGGGGCTAGGCCTTAAAAATTGATAGGCATATCATTTTTTGTTAGAAATGGACAAAATAATGCGCACGTTCGCAAAAAATCGAAATGTAGTATTTGAATTGAGAAGAAGTCATTTAAATTTGTTTTTTCATTCTCTCGTAATTTAAACCTGTCTTAAATTTAATATTTGCTCTTATTTCTTTATTTAATATTAGAGGTCTATTCATCCAAAACTGGAGCAAAAAAAAAGATTTTGGGCTGGGGTAATACAACTTTAATGCAATTTTATGAAATATTTTCCTTCGGAGATGCTGAATAAGATCTATTTTTTTTAAATTAAAAAAAATTATATATAATCTAAACCGTTGGTGGCACTTTGGGCTATTGCGCTGGTAGAACTAGAAACGCTAGTAGAGGAACAAGTGTGACTCGTATTTTTACCGTTGATACTTTTAGACATTTTTAAGCCGCCGTTTTTAATGCGGTTATGGTTGATATTATTATTATTCGAGAATATTTTGGTGGTAGACTTCTGGGAGGCGGTAGTGGATAGGGAGACGTTAGAATTTTTAAAACTCTCCTGGTACCTCGGGCATATATGGGTGTGAGAGAATGGATTTTCTTGAAGGGATTCAAGATTAATCCCTGTTTCAAATTCTTATTTTCGTTATATTTTTTAAAAATAAAATCAGATCATGTGAATGTTGATAAATCGTTCGATTTGAGCCAACTTCAAAATGACTTAGACGAGTTTTTTTTAGTCAAAGATCGGACTTAAGATTACTAGAGGACTAAGCAAAAAAAATGATAGTGTTTCAGGGAATTGGCTGAAATGCCGATTTAAAAGAAGAGAGGATATGTAGGAAAAGTCTTAACCATAAAATATTGAATCCGATTTGGATAATGTTGTTATTTAAAAATGGGGATACTTTGGGTGTAACTGTATAATTAGGAACAAATAAGATATTAGATATTGCTATAATAATTAACCATGTATTTTTATTATTATCATATTTTAAAAAAAATACCATGAATTATATAGCTTTATAGATAAGGAATATAACCGTTTATTTGAACAAAAAAAATGCATATACCATTTCCCTGTTCCTCTTGAATATCCCTAAGAGAGTATTGAGACTTAGCAGCTGATAGAGGTCGCCTGTTAAAACTTCTTTTAACCAAAACAATCTCTTTCCGACAGATTAATCCCTTTCCACTATTTATATCCTCCGCGTCCCTCGTGAGTTCCGCCGTAGGTTCTTGAGGCAGCCACTTGCGATGGCCTGATTTGAAACCTTTGAAAGATGCGGAATTTCCCAAAATCCGCTTGTCCTTGGCGTCTTTATTGAAATGACTACCGCTAGCAAGTTGTGGTGAGGTCGTCTTTTTTTTTTATTCAATTTTTTTAAAAAATATTATATCTTTCTATTTCTAGGATATATTTTACAATTTGATATAAAAGTGAGATAAGAATAATATGGTTGAACTATGCCATACAAATTAACAACCTTGATTGAATTTTTGGCCTGATTTTGCGGTGGCGGTAGCTGGGGCTTGAAAGCCAAGCGATATTCTTCGTTCCCGTATGAGGTCAGGGAAGACACGAGTTTGGAATCCGACGTGGAGTGGGTTGGGGAAGGTTGGTTAAATGGCAATACGGTCTCTGTTAGTTTTGGGGCATAATTTTTTATAACGTTTAATAATGCTCACAATTTGATTCGTTTTCCTTATAATTTTGCACCAAAAAAAGCCAAAATAGTTTGCCTTTTTTTTAAAAAAATGTTTATTTATTTAAAAATGTCGCGCTGGTCAAATAAGGTCAAAATACTCTAAAATGTTATTGGTGAATAAATATATCGATTTAATTAACTAATATGTATTTAAAGCATGTTTATCAATCTATAATTAGCAGAGTTGTTAAAGGATCTAGATATAAGTATCTAGATCCTGTATCTAGATTTAAAAATGTGTTATCTGTATCTAGATAGATTTTTGATTAAAATACTGTATCTAGATATTATTTTAGACGATGTATCTGTATCTAGATCCATTTAAAAAGTATCTTTTAACAACTCTGATAATTAGGTTAACAATTTATTTTAAAAAATATATTTGTATATCATCAAGGCATCGATTTATTTATAAATTTTATATTTAAATATAAGATTTTCGTTCGCATCAATCATACTTACTAACAATAATATGTAATATCACATACGACTTGAATAAATAATAATAATATGTGTTTATATATTATACAAATATGGGATATGATATTAATATTCAGGATCATGTTACTATCTTTTGGCGCGTTATCCTCTTTTTCTGTTCCATTGTCAGACTCGTATTTCATTAAATAATCATATCTTTTTTATAATGGGTTCCCCTTTCTTTTTGAGCTGTTTTGCTGCTTCTTCTAAGTTTTCAGTTTTGGTAATACTTACTTTAATTTTTGTTTAGCTAATAAATTTAATTTTTTTTTACTATTAATTTTAGCTTTCATGAAACATTTGCCCATTTTCCGCCGTATTCCTAAAATAATAAAATTCTATTTCAAATGGAAATTTTGCCCCTTTTGTATATTTCTCTCTTTTTTTTTCTTCATATTTTGAATCAACATTGATCAGTGTTTTCCAAATATTTATTGCATCAATAAAGGAAGAGCCTTATTTAGAATGATGGGAGTAAGTTATTATTTTAATTTTTATTAGGAGTGGAGTGGAGAAGAATTACTCATATCATTGGTAAAAATTTTAAACGAGAGGCCAATTTATTCCTATGTCTGACGTAAACTTTTATTAAAGAATTGCCTGATTCGTCGAGATGATAAGGAAGCGAGTTATCAATTTAATAGTAGTTTTTACTATTATCGGTTACCAAAATGGCGGATCCAGCTGATTTGCATTCAGCGACGCTTTCAAAAATGCATTATTACGAATGTATCGTCAGTTTAGGTATTATTGTATGTCATTAATGTAAATATATTTTTTAAAAAAATTTTGAAGAAAAATGATAATATTTAAAATAAATCAGAACAAGATTCTGCTTGGATAGAGAATTAATTATAGAATTTTAAAAAAATATATAATATAATATTTAAATAGATTCATTTTATTTACTATTATATATGTTATAGCGTCAATATACTTTCCGGCATGGGTGTTATTTTTTTCAAATTTAAATCATTTTTTGAGCGCGTTTTTTAAAAAATTTTAAAAATTTGATTTTACCGAAAATGTATGCCAATATGTCATGTTTGGAATACCTACCTAACCCTAAAAAATTTCAGACAAATTTTTCCATAAACTTTTAAACCTAATATAATTTATATTAAATTTTCCGTATATTTTTTTATACAAATAATAAATGATAAAATTGTCTCTAACAAAACATTTATTTGAATCTGACCATATTTGGCCGGTCAAATATCCGGCAATTGACCGGATTCCATTCGACCGGTATCCTAGTTTTTATGAAACGACTCAATTTGTAAGCATTATTAGAGGTCTGGTTTAAAAAAAAGGTATTCGTGGAACAAAACTAAATATCTTTATAAGATGAAATTCTTTAACAACTTTTTAAAACCCCCAAAAAACATAAATAATTAAATTAAATGGACTCACTGGAAAGGTGCGGGGGAACGTCGGTATTATTTCGTGCCCGCTTCCCCTCTAGGTAGTTTATGAGTATAGCTTGTTTTCGCTCTTTCACTTCTTCCCTTTTCTTTTCAAGCTCGATCTGTTTGGCCCTGAGACGCGATTTTAATGCACGAGGAAGAGAGGAAAATTAATTTTTTAAAAAAATATAATGATTGTAGCATCCTCATGCAAAATCTGCTCATAATCGAATGTTTCTGCGTCAGAATCAATCTGGTAACGGATGTTATTCGCTAAGAGTGTGAATGATTCACAATTATAGCCGCGTTCATATTATTTGGAACAAGGGTAAAAAGCTGAGATGCATTCAATAAACAATTTTTTGGATAATATCGAGACCTATGAAAAGTATCGACTCAGTATCACAAATTCTCGAAATATTTTTTTAGGCATAGCCTGCTCCTCGTTTTAAAAATAAAAATTCAACCCTTCCTGAGATTTTTATAATTTGTTTTAAACAATTTTTGTCTTATTCATGAATATATTTTTAAAACTAGTTGCTGTTCCTCAGATCCAATTATCACCCAAATGGAATTCGATAACCGCTTATCCAAGTTATGAGGTGAATATTGGATCGATGCAGCCCAAAACATGTATATTATTTATTTTTTAATAAAAAGAATAATTTCTCAATGAGTTATCAATGTTGCCAATAAATCCTGATACAACTGTAATAGTCGGCATTGCTATGTAACGTCGTACTGATTACCACCACAGTTAGAAATTTTAAATCTATTAACCTGGCAATAACTAAGAGTTGCTTCTAATTTTTTTATATCTTCCATTTAAAAAACATATAATAAAGAATAATTTAGTCCAACTAGAGCCTTCTTAAATTGAGCGTTTCGCATTAATATGAGATAAAAAATATATAATAGTTATAACGTATAAATGAGGAGTTTTAATTATATTATCAGAGTTCAGGGACCCAGAACAAAGGCGTTTTTGCGTTTCTGTTCTGTCCATGTTTCCGCGTTTTAAAAAAATTTCTAATTTTTAATCATTAATCCTTATAACATTGCACAATTAAATATATCTAAGTATTAATTTAGACATTCGGTGTGCAACTAGTATGCTGAGCAGGCTATAACATTTTTAATGTCAAACGTTCGAAATTAATTCAAATTTTTTGGGAAACAATATTTTAATGCACTTGAATTCTAAAGAGCTTAAGGGAGGTAAATTTTTGCGCTCAAAGCAAAAATAACTTGTATAAGCTTTTCATGTGTCATCCAATTTTTAAGTATAAAAATTGTGATATCGGCACATCTCTGATAAAAAAAAAGTCTAGATTAATTCAGCAATTTTCGACCAAGCAGATTATGATTATTCTCTTATATTATTATGATAATTATACCGCCTCCCTCCATACAACTGGGCATTTTTAATTTCTGCGTTCAAGATTATAAACCGTAAGATACTAAAATTAAGGAGAAGGGGAGGTATTTGTCAAGTTTATGTTTTAAGTGAGGTAGGATGCAAAACTAGATTATTAAAAGATTCTAAATCTACTATAAGAATATAGGGAATTGTCAAAAAAAATTCCACTTCAATAAAGACTAGAAAGATCACGGAAGGCTTTACTACTGCTTAAAGGGCAAATTATTCCTAAGATTGGTAAGTTTAATGGTTAAGTGTAACTAACTAGATTCTAACAAAATTTTTAAACAAACCCATTATAAGTTACAGAATAAATATCTGAATAAAAAAGATTAGACTTTTTGTCACAATAGTTGTAATAAATTCCCTTATGTTGTTGAGGGGAAAGAAAAAATATTAAGAATAGAAGGTTAAAAAAATTTTAAGAAAAAGATGGATTAAGACCATTTTGTGCATAAAAAATAGTTTACCAGTTAAACGGGAAAAGGCAAGTATCCATTTTAGAAAAAAAAAATGCAAAGAGGCATAATAAGAGAAAATGGAGTTTTATTTACTTATTTCTTACGTTCCGATAAACCGAGATTGAAAACGATCGTGTACGATTTAGCGAATTATTTTCAGGAAAGGATATTTAAAAAAAATAAATATTCATATGATTGTTATAGAGAATGTTTTCTGCGAAAAAAAAGTATGCGACATTTTTATTTTAATGTCACGTCTATTTGTCCGAGTAAAATTATCACACTTCTAGCAAACTCGTCCGTATACCAGCTGATTCGTGACGTGTAGGTTCACCTAGAGGAGGTAACCACGACAACGATACTCCCGAGCCTTGAAAAAATATTAAATTTCGCGGGTGAATAGGGAATGAAACAATATTTTAAGCAAGATAATTAAAGGTCATTTTAACGATTCCGAATATATTATATTTTTTTCATTCGAATCGGGTCGAGTCAATCTGCTCCGGGGCATTGAAGGAATGCTAATTTTAAAAAAACGTCCTTTGATAAATAGTATTTTTTTTTAAAAAACAACAATATTATACATCATTTTCTCTCTTGCTTGAACGGCTTTGGCATTATTCTTCGCCTTGGATGCTTCCATCTCGGCCCTCCTTTTAACCACGTTCGAAATTATGATTTCTTTACGTTTAATGATCGATTCATCTAAATCCTGGAAGGGATTAGGGGGAGGGGTAAATATATTTTTTTTGAATATCATAGGTGTTAGATCAAATTTTAAAAAAAATAATTCTCCCGCGCGCAATTTAAAGCGCGAAGAACTGAGAAAAATAAAAAAACATAGTAAATTTTAATCCAAATCGTTAGGAAACGGAGAATCGTAAAAGAAGTTGAACCTATGTAAATTCAAGTTCATTTAAAAAATCTTAAATAATTCTTAACTTTGTATAAGTTGGATAAAATGCCATAAATTGTGAAGCTCTTTCAGAAGAGTAAATAAATTGGGGATGGAGACAAAACACATGAATATAGGAATAAAATTAGTATACCACCTGTATAGGTTATTACAATAACCAAGGTAAACAAGGAGGAAGGTGCATCAAAATTTACTAAAACAGCTGTCTCTACTCTCAGAAGAACTAAGAGTACCCCTAACCCTAAAGGGTGGGAGATATATCTTAATATTAGGGTATACTATTATTACTGAGAACCGTGGGTACATGTGCAGGCCGGAATTTAATTTTTTTCCGAGCCTAGAAATTTTTTGTAAAAAAAATACCCGGTCCGAGCGGCGCAAACGGTACCTCTGCAGTCTCTGATTATAATAATGAAGACATAAAATAAAAAAATAAGAGTCCATGTTGCCCCTTTATTTTATCAGCCTACAAATTTTTTTTTCTCGAAATAATGAAACCTCGTCTCGGGATATCCCTAGTTCAGTATCGATCACTGAACAGGAAGTGCTCTCGTTTTTAAAGGGATGTTGGTCCAGCGGAACGACGAATCCCATACTCTTCTTGACATCCGAATTGTGGTGTGATTGGTGGGAAGAGGAAGAAGAAGAATGGGGGAGGGGGGAAGGAGGGAGCGAAGGCGATTTGTTAAAATTGGCACCGGGTGGGAAAAGAGAGACTTTCGCGGGTCTCGGAGTCTGTTATGGAAATGGTAGTTTTGATATTTTTGAAAGATAATAATTTTTTTGGTAGATATAGTCGTGTAGAAGTAGGATAAATATGATGATTGACAAGTATCGTGATTTTAAAAATAATTGGTTAGCCGAAGCTCTTTTAAAATGACCACTAATGTTAGCCAAAGCTCTTTTAAAATGACCACTCATGTTACAAGATATTGATGGTTTGGGTATTTTTTTACAAACACTTTTTCAATATAGTATCATTAACCTTATCCCATATCTGGTAACCCAAGACTAAATTTTTCAAGCTCAGCCCAAAATATTTTTAAAAAAAAAATTTCTACTAATATTTATTAATATAAATATGCATATTGTGAAGAAAATTGATAAATGTTTATGAAGTGATTTATCGAATTATATAAAGAGCAATAATAATTATTTGTCACGATATAAGAATTTAGGTGATAATTCTGAAAAACGGTCAAAAATATAAAATTTGAGGGATCAGGCCTAGCTGGAGGATTTAAAAAATAAATCAGAATTTAATTTTAATTTGTAAATGAGACCTTTTGATCATCGATATCGAGCTTGCTTATTTTGCCCATCAAGACATTGACAGTCCCGTGGTTAGATGGATCATGTCCCAATCTAGTCGAAGAAGGGGTATAATAATCGCGAGGAGTCGCAAGAATGCCATCAGAGCTTCGGTGCGCATCGATCACATAGCTCGCCTCCAACCTCTGAAGATTGTCTTGACTTCTGCGGGTCAAGAAATCGCCGCTAGTAGACCTAAGGTCTCGATATTCGTTGCCATCGTTTACAGTGCGAGCCAAAATCAAATTTTCGCTCGTGTGGGTATCATAGGTAGCGGAATTACTTAATACTGTGGCAAAGGAACCGCCATGTGGTCCGTAAATACCAAGATGAGGTATCACGCAAGGAGGATGATTATTAGGTTTGCTTTTTTTATTGTTCTCGTAAGAGTTGACATTGTATCTCTCGCAAGAAGAGGCGACATTTTCGTCTGTTACTGTATCATGGGTATTGCAGTTACCGAATAAGGTAACGGTAGAAGTGCCAAGAGGCCCGGAAATACTTGGATAAGGTACAGTGAACGGAGGTGAATTAATCGGCTGGCTCCTCTTATCGCCATTGTAGGAATGGTAATTGTATCTGTCACGAGAAGACGGGACATTTTCACCCGTCGCTGTATCAAAGGCAACGGAATTACTTAATACAGTGGCGGAGGAACCGCCACCAGTCCCAGATATACTTGAATAAGGTATTACGTAAGGGAGTGGATTATTTGGCTGACCCCTCTTATCTCCATTGTAGGAATTGTAATCATACCCATCGCGAGAAAATTCGGCAGTGTTATGCCGGTTAAAACGGTCTGGCTGATATTCCAGGTAGGTGATATTTAGCCCCTCCTTCTCATCCTGTCGAATGTATTCTTCTTCCTTAATATTGCCATCGCGATAACCTTCTTCTTTGTAGTGGGCTCCTAATGTGCCGAAATCTCTAGTGCGATTATTTATTGTCTCTCGAATATCGTTGTCGTACATTAGTTCGGGTTGGCAATGATGGCCAGATTTGCGAAAATTGTAGTTATCAACGTCATTTGGGTGCCGATGATGGATATTATTGGGGTGCTGAGGAATGGGGATGTAAGGCTGGCGTGTTTTTGGAACAACATTACGATTAGCGGCTGCAAAATAGGAGCCGCCATTAGAAGGGGAAGAGGATGATGAGTGCCGAAAGTTGGTGCTGTTAGTCACGAGGCTTTCGCTAACAAAATAAAAATAAAAATGGTTAAAAAAATATATGACATAATGATTATAGCTTGAAACCGGAACTAAGCCTGTGCCGATCATCCAAGTTTTCAACGATTCGATATTATTACAAAGCCTATCCTATAATCGATTATACCTAAAACGAATTATTCGTTATTCAATTCGTATTTTAAGAATAAGGGTAACATTAGAATCGAATAAAAACGATCGAATTATTGGAATAATTTGAAATTTTTCGATATTATCAGCAAATATTTGAAACCGTTATCATTAAAACGTATTCATAAATATTTAAAATTATTTTTATTTATCATCTTCCATAAGGAACATTTTATTTATTTATTTTTACTCTATTTCCACAATCTTATAAAATCACAAATTTTAAATTTTACGAAAAAAATATCTTTTTAATTTTGATTCAACTTTTACCAAAAATTCCAAATATGTAAGAAAAAAAAATATTCTTTTATAATTTTCATTCATAAAAAAAAATCTAAAAAAAAAATATTCGAAGATTTATTCAAAAAAAATCATGAAGATTTATTCAAAAAAAATCATGAAGATTTATTCAAAAAAATTATGAAGATTTATTCAAAAAAAATCATAAAGATTTATTCAAAAAAATCATGAAGATTTATTCAAATCATGAAGATTTATTCAAAAGAAATCATGAAGATTTATTCAAAAAAATTATGAACATTTATTCAAAAAAAATCATTAAGATTTATTCAAAAAAATAATGATTTTAAATTCCAATTTAGGGTTGTTAAAAAGTACGGTTTGGGTCGATTTTTAAAAACGGCCCGATTAGATTTGGCAAGCAGAAGCCCAATTTTTTCAGCAATCTACAAGCGAAATTACCAGCCGTACACACAATTATTTTGTCTATATTCGATTCGTTGTAGGTATTTATTAATCGATACCAACGACATTTTATATAGATTTATATTTATACCATCTTATCTTTGAAAAATGTCATATAAAATCAATATTTTTTTTTATTCAAGTAAAAAAAACTGTAGGGGGGTTTTAAGTTCAATAGTGTAGTATTTAATGAGCGGATTATATTATAAACGGTCAACGCTTGGCATGCGAGGGTTTAGATAATAATAATAATTCTAAATTGTAATGAATCCTTTTTTTTTAATTCTTGGTAAAAAACTCAAATTTTCTAAATTTTTGCAAATTAATAAAAATTAGAAACATGTCCGAAATCTTCCATTACTTTTTTTTACAAAATAAAACGAAAAAAACAAATCCAAAATAAAACGATTAAAAAATACGAAAAATAACATGCTTTAATATTACTAGATTTTTCATAAAAATTATCTAAATAAATAAATTTTTTGTAAATTACGAAATATGATTTAGAACACCATTTTATTTTTACATTAAAAATAGCTTGTTATTTTTTTTCCTTCAAAATTTATAAATTTATTTATTTATATTTTTTTTAAGATTTTAGGACACAGCCTAAACTAATAATTATATAACAATAATTTTATATATGTTATTATAATCGTTTTTCAACTATACAATATAAAATAAAACGTAAATATATTATATATTGTTAATTTTAGAAACTATAATCTATATTTGGAACTACATGATTAAATATCTTTTTCATTTAGGCATTTTTGTAAAATTATTAAAATAAAATGCTGTTTATATTTAAAATAATAAAATTGTTTTATCAAGCATAATGCTATAAAAACCAACTTAACTTTTAGAATGATTAAGTGTACTTTGCTTTATAATTCTCCAAGAGTTAATCATTTTTAAAAATATAGGCAATGGGCTGAATGTAGTATTGCTAAACGCCTCGTTCGGTCGATTTTTAAAAACGGATAAATCACGATTTCTTCTTCCTCTCCGTTTTATGGCGATTTCCGGGTTTACCCAGGTTGGCCTGTTTTCCTTCTGATTTTTCTTTTCCCATTTTTGACGGTCCTGAGCATCAATATTAGTAAACCATTCATGTTTCTCATTCTCATATCTCCCCGCTATCACATTTGTCCACGTCGTCTTGGGCCTTCCTCTAGGTCATAATCCTCCTACTTCCATCAAGGTGCATCTCTTTACCCAGCCATCTTTTGTCATACGTTCCACATGCCCCCAAACCATCTTAGTCTACTTCGTCGTATTATTATTCCAATCATTTCTATACCCAATCTCTTGCTGGCAATTCCTTGCTGAATAGATCACGATCTAAGCCAAACTCTTTATTACTGATGCCTCGAAATTCCATCATTAGATGATTAAGCCATAAATAGATGATTATTATCCAACCATCAAGTTGGATGAAAAGTATAAAAGGAAGTTTACAAAAAAGGGGCATTGAGAGGTGACTAACTACGAATAGATCTGTCACATAATTGTAAAGTGATATTGATTAATACCATTATTAAAATGGCGACTTTTCGGGCAAAAGAGGAAAATTGAGAGCTTAAATTCAATATTATTTTTCATTTTTATTTTTAAATAAAAAAAAATTAACAAAATTTTATATACTTTTTATTAATTTTATGATACTTTTCTTTTTCTGTCTGTCAAGTATTTTCTTTTAAAAATGTCCACGATCCAGATAAAAATCAAATCAAATTCATGGTTTTTATTTTATTATTGGTGTCTGTCATTTGTTTTTTTTTTAATTTATTCAATTTTAAATTTTTTAAAAAAACTTTAAAAAAAACTATATAAAAATAGGCTTTTAACAAAATTTGTAAAGAGAAAAATCAATCAAATAACGCAGCACAACTTTGTAAGAGTAATTATATTTTTAATATAGCCTGTGATAGGTAATGGTAATGAAAATGGTAATCGTGCATTTCTGATTACTTTTTTTCCCCTATAAATAATAATCAAATATTTTCCCTATAGTTTTACGTTTCGAATTGATGGTGGTCGAGATAGTAACGGTTGTTGGTGCGACTGTTCAGATCTAGGCTCAATAAATTGTTGGTGAGGGAATCGCAATCGACAACAGATAAGGCGCTTTTCGAGTTGGGTAGCGCATTGCCTCTCCGGGCGTACCTGGATATTTGTCGGATCTGCTGTTTCCTGGCCTCCATCCTCGTCTTGGGATTGGACGACGATAATTGTTGGTGACGATTTTGGTAGTAGCGATTATTATTATCGTTATCGCCGTTAATACGTTGGCCGTAGGGAGAATTACGGTTAACGCCGCTGTTACAGTTATAGCGAGATGCGTTTCTGAGGTTAGTTTGGAAGTGATTATTTGGTTTCGCTTCAGCGAAATTTGGCAGAGGTAGGTTTGGCGGCTGATGATTCATGAGGACTATATTAGTTTTAAAAAAAATAAAATCATTAATTTACTCAGCCTCAAAAGTGTACGCCAAAAAAAATCCGCTTATGCCAGGGTTAACTGACTTTTTTGCTTCACGCTTATGAGAACGAGCCTAATCAATTCAATTGTTTTTTTTAATCTTTAAAAAAACTGCGAATTAACCTACCAGCTGTTCTACTAATTAACATCCATATATTTATTAATTTTTTACTGTTTGATCTATACATATCATTGGTAGCGAAGGGACATTTGTTATAAGTATGTTTGTTGGGAAGTTGGTAATTGTAATGGCTGTCGATGTTGCTATTATTTTTTGTGCCAACACCGCCATGATCGTTGAAATATTGCCCATGGCTCTCGCTTTGGCTTTGGGTTAGTCTATAGGGGGCAGGTTGGCCATGGTTCGGAAGACCTAAATATATATTTTTTATTAATTATTATGTGACCAAATTTCATGATTGGGGAGAAGAAGAGAAGGATTTTCAAAATGAGAGTACAGCTCTCGAAAGTTAACTTAAATAAAATAGGCACTATTTCAGCAGGTTTTTCAATGTTAATGCGAGCAAAATTTCATAGTTTTTTTTCTCCGCTATTATTAAAAGTGTTTTTTTTTGTTAGAGTCTTAGCAAAAAAAAAGCCCCCCACATAATTTTATCATGTTTTTAATCATCCGCCTTGCGGGTGTGGACCAAAGCCCGAAGCGGGTATATAAGTGGGGCCATAAATTTTAAACCCGGGACTAAAAAAATTTTTCTTTAAAGAAAACATAGGCAGAGCCTATTTAAATTGAGTGGGTTAATAATTTAATATCCATTTAATGATCATATTTCCAATTTCCCCTCTAAAACGATTTACAGAATTTACAGCCAAAATTATTCAAAATAATGAACTTTTAAAATCAAAAATAAACTTAAAAAATATTTTTTAAAAAATTAAGTTTCATTGTTAATTGAAAGATGTATAGTAAATACAATTTTCCTATTTTTATAAATCAATATTCGAAATCATCAAACAATTTTGTTATCCCAATACCCTGCCTTAACTCGTTTAAATTAGTTATGAATTTCCATGCCGATATGTTATTTTTAGGCTAAATTAGTCACTAATTTTAGTAATGCTTCTTAACATTCACAGCTAATTTTATTGAAAAAGGGAGGGGGATATCAAAAAATATTTTAGATATAACCTAAAATTAATATTTAAAAAAAATGTATCTTACAATAAAGAAAAATACAATGAATGATACAATCATCCGAACCGATGATAATTATTAACCGAGTGACAACTGACACATCGATTGCCACTAAGATTAGATAGTTCGCAAATTTTCCTTAATTACTTTATAATGCGAAAATAAATCATTTTAAAAAATCATTAAAAAAAGATGAAGAAATGGTTTTAAAATTAAATATATAAAAGGGGGTATTTGCATTACAAATAATATTCAAACCTGTCTCATGAAAGCAATTGATTCGAGTATCGGATTGATATCCAGGTAATTGATTAAGATAAATGCGGGAATCCCATCTGTTCCTGTCAAATTATCGATCGTTTTTTTTTAAAAAAATTATATAATATTTCGACGGTGCGGTCAAAAGTCCGATCCTAACCTGATCAGGTTCGTCCTTAAACCGTTTCAGTCTTATAAAGATAGTAGCGACTAATTTTAAAAAGCAAAGGAAAAGGGCAAAAAAAAATATGTTCAAGTCAGTCCGTTAGCTGGTGAACGTAAAATTAATACAAGAATTAGGTCCAATGATGGACGCTAACGCAACGATAGTATAAGTTGAGGTTTCTAGATGATTTATAGCTTATAGAAAAACGTTAAATATTTGTTTACTCGTTAGATAATTCGAAATGGTTGCGTTCAGCGTGGGTGTTGTTTTGCGGAAACCGTTCTAAAAAAATATATAAAATAAAACCCCGCATTATACGTCAGCTGATACACTTTTCGTGAGCAAAAAAAAAATGTACTAAACGAAACTGCCCTAAATTTTTTGATGGACAAGGGTTATATCCGGAGTTAGGAATTTGGACAAAAAAGGGCTCCTCCGGTCCAAATCTTTTTTCTAAAAAAAATCGTGATTTTGGTCACTAAAATTTTGAAAAGTAGGTTATGGGTTCTGATTTTAGGTCTTAAATTTGACAGGGTTATACTCGTTAATATTATTATTTAAAGAAATTTAATAAGGATAAACAGGATATCCTATTTTATATTTCCGCTTTTCTATTCAAAAAAAAAATCTCAATTTTATATATTCAAATTTATTCGTATGTCACTGATATGTTACAAATGTGATTTCCACATCTTATAATTTTTCATCTGATTTTATATCTTAGAATATTATAGCGCCCTTTGATAATTATGCCTCTAATAGACGAGAAAATAAAAATCAAAAAATTTTTTTTTACAAATGCTTTCAAATTATCTAAAATATGTATAATTTGTCGGCAAACATAAAGGCTCTAAATTGTAATTATTGTCATTCCATGAGATAATTTAAGCAACCAAAAATCGCTTACATTTTAAGTGATATATGCCTAACGAAGCCCCATAATTGGGACTTCAATTATTTTTTGGTTTTGGGGCTTTTTATATGATTTCGACCGTTATTCTACTAGCATAATGATTTTAAATCATTCTATTCAGATCAAGAATTGCATATTTCATACTAATGAATAATGTTTAAAAAATATGTTTTGACTTATATTTGATATAACTCATTATGTTCAAAATAAATAAAAATTTGACAATTATTGTTAGATATGTAATAAGAACCCTTCTAAATTTTTTTATAAAGATTGCCAACATTTTTTGAATAACTTCATTTTTACCCTATTTTGAATTTTCATAAATGTAATTTTATATAATATCTTATAAGTTTTTTTTAATATAAAGTTATTTATATAGAGAGATGTAAAAAATTATTATTCTCTTTTTATATTTAAACTTGTAGACTCAGATTTTTATATATTAAATGAGTTTTGCTAGTAATATTTTAAGATTATTTGCACTGACTTACCATTTCTATTTTAAAACGCTATTTTGTAAACTAGCTAAAAGTGTATAGCTTTTGTATATTTATTAATTTTTTTTAATAAAAACCTTATAAAATATATTGGTCTACCAAAAACTAGATCTAGACAAGCTAATATAAGGTTGTTTGTATAAAATTTTGAATTAGTTTCTGGAAAAAATAATTGATAATTTTCTAAATTTAAAATATCAGAAAATATATAAAAATATTGAGTATAAATAAAAGAAATATAAGGAATCAAATAAACTTTTTTACGATTTACTTTTTGATATTATTTTGCCTGGTGATCAAAATAATATAATAAAGTAACGCAGTGCTAATCATTATGAATATCATTAATTGTCTAATTAACTTATAGGAAATAATTAATATATAGAGCGTATTGATTTTTCGCTTCATATCTCGCTGAATAAATATAGGGAAAAAATACTAGATAAACATATAAAAACATTGATTATCACATTTTTTTAAAATGAAACTAAACTTATTATTTATTATGATATATAGGAAAGACATGCCAATTATGTACATAACAATTATAAATTTTTATGTAGTTATTAGATTTATGCTAAAAATTATTAATTTTAATAAATTGATTTGCTTTTCCTAAATTTTTTTTATAGTTTTCTTAATATAATATTTATTAATTAAAAATTAATGAAAGTTTTAAAATTTTATAGGAAATTACGATTAATTAAAAATTTGTGAAAGTTTTAAAATATAGGAAATTTTTATATAATTTTAATGTTAAAAATTAATTTTACCAAAAATAATACTTTTAAAAATTATTACATCATTAATAAATTATTTTTAGTTAGAAATAAATCATGTAGAAGTAATTATTTAAATTTTATTGCGTATGTTAATTAAAAATAATGATTTATATAATAATACCAATTTTCTATATAAGATATTTATAAACGCAGTATATTATATCAGTTTTTGATGATAATTATAAGGTTTAAAATATACTGAGTAGTTTTCCTATTCATTTGCCCAAATAAAGTAAAGAAAGAAAAGTTTAAAATAAATTATTAATATTTAACATATTTCTTTTATGTATTGAAAAATCTATTTTATTCTCATAATTATATATACAACAAGGTGCATACCCAGGGGAGAGAAGGGGACGGAAAAGAAACCTTCATCGACAAAATTTATATTTTGCAAACAATCATACACATTGTTTTCCAAATAAACTATCCTTTTAAATGTAATTTAAAAGGTTTAGATATTTCAGCAAGCTCATAATATCATAATAATTATCATTGTAAATAATGGAGGTTTTAATTGAATTTATTAAAAAATAAATTTTTTATATTCACAAAATATCGATAGTTGGTAGTAGAAATAGATTAATTTAAGTTATCCTTTATAAATTCTTTGAAAAGAGTATCAATAAATAAATAGGTGAAAATAATGATAAAGCGACGGAAATTTTTTAGGGGGGTAGGCAAAGGTTTTTGAAGGGGGTTTGCATCCAGTGAAAATCCTGTCATGTAGACGCTGTTTCAAAGGAGTTATAAACGCCTGTTTTAAATTAGTTAATCATAAATTCCCTTACTGAAATTAGTCTAAAAAAAGTAGAGTAAATGTAGATGATAAATCATAAATTATATATCATTGTTTAATCAATTTGAGCTCTAAAATTTGTATGCCTTGCCTTCCAAAAACAAGTACATAGGTACAATGTTAATATAGAGTTAGTTGAAGATCTCTATGAAATAAATCTCTTTATCCACCTCTTAGATATTTATCTCAATAAATAAATATATGATTCATCAGCAGCACAGCAAATATTATCATTGCTGAACGCTACCGAATATATTCCAAAAAAATTAATTATTTTTTTTTACAGATTTATTCTGAGGATATTAAAGCATTAATGACCCTACTAACTGAATGCAAAAAATAGTGTAAAAGGTTAAGTAGGGTTAATAATATTCCAAGACTTGCATAATTTTAAACACATTTGAGACGATTTTAGGCACTGATGAAATCATTGAAATGTTAGCTCAATCCAAAAGAAGATTGAATTTTATATTAAAAATATATAATATGCTACTTCTTAATAAATTTTTTGCGCATTATTCTACATATAATTAACATGTATAACAAATTTTATGCTAAAAAATTTACATTTTTTTACAAAGTTCTTTTCCGCAACATTTATTTTATAATGATTCATACGCCGGTTATATATTTAATATATTATCATTAATCTTTATTTGAATTTGTACACTAGAAATTATCAATATTATGATCGCTAGTTCTAATAAATTTCTAAAACCTAAGATTAAATAATTCCTAAAATAATTCTGAAAATTTTGTAATTATCCTCCCCCATAAATAATTCTTGCTATAATAAAGAAAATTAGGAATTACGAACCAAACGTAAACGAAGAGTAAAACAGTAACATGGGCTGACTGGCCAGTAAGTCTAGTAAGAAAAAAAATTTGGGGGTTTAGGAAAGAAAAAAGAAGTTTTTTTAAAAACATTTATATCATATCTAAATTATACAAAATAAATTTTTTAATTATAAATTTAATTTTTTAGTAGAATTATTAGTACTATAAACACCTCTATTAAGGAAATAAAAATTATAAATAAATATTTTTATTCCCGCTAACTATAATGTACCATATTTTATAGACCTAATACACAATATTATATTTCATTTTTAGAATTTAACTGAACTCATATAAAATTTTTATATTATACACATCTAAAATATGTCTATTTTTATGTATTATAATATTAGATGTATTTCATGATAAGTTTTGGTTCATATTCTAAGATAATATCTGATTTCTTGTATACACAAACACAAGACACAAATTTTGAACCTCGTATATTAACATATTTAACAATAAGAGACATAATATCTACAACATCTACAATCATATACGGACTCTGCTTTATCTTCTTATAATGATATAATTTTACCTTAGAATCTAATATCGCTTCCTTCAAATAATAATAGCACTGAAATTTTATATGTGGAATTGAGGAAAGTCAGTAAAATTTAAATGTTTTGGTTTTATCTGCATCTTGCTGATATTTCATTTGCTTTTGATATTTATACTGGAAAGGTTAACTATGAAACTAGTTCTGATGGTAAAAGAATCCTGAGATAATTAACAGGTGTTTTTTCTAGAATTCAAGAACATGCACTATTCTTATATAATTATTTTACTTATGCAAGTTTATTCAAGTGGCTAGGAGAAAAGATTTGTTGTAGAGGAACAATCTGTT